GCCAACATATAATGATCCAACCACGTTTAAAATTTTAAGAACATTATATTGTATCATTCATGTTGCCCCTACCTAAAGGGTACGGCTGCAGTTATACTTATGGTAACATACCATAATATTAAGGTGATATATTTTATTTTGATTTAATTGTTAAAAATAATTAATATTTATTATTTAATATATTAAAATTAATTTATAAAATGATATTTTTAAATATTATAATTGATTATTTAAAAAAATTATAAATTAATAAAATATCAATAAGATCTTAGTAAAATAATATGTGGCTAAGTGATATTATTATTGCATACTCTTAATTATTAATATCGTATTTTTTATAATAATTAATTATTATACTATTTAATTTATTAAAAAATAAAATAAATAAAATGTAAATATTTAAAAAATTTGTGACATTAATTATTTAAAATATGATAATAACTCTACTAGTCTTAATATAATGATGTGGAATCATAATCACAATCTTATCTAAACTTATGTACAAATTATATTAAAAAAAAAAAAAGGAAACTCGGACACTTTATGTCATCAAATTTTAAATTAATGAAAATCAGCCCTCCTGAAATTCCATTTTTATCTTAACTTTTTGTAGTTGATATGGCATTTTAACTTAAAACCAACGACCTTAATTTCGTAGAGAGATTCAAAAATTAACTATATTTTTATATAGGAAAATGTTATTGAGATTATCATTTTGTTTTTTTTTTTTTAATTTGACATGTTATTAAAATAATTTATTTTTTTAATTCATGTAGAATCCATGATATTAAATATATCAACTCATTTAATGATATATGAAAATTGTACAAAAAAATAAAATAAAAAAGTTATTCCAATAACACCATTTTTTTTTTTTTTTGTAATAAATAGCACCGCCCTTTTACATATCTCAATGCTTGGGTTACATAAAAGGAAAGAAAGAAGATTTATCCAAGTCTTGTGGATACATATATATTTTCATCATAAAAAACATAATATAAAACGAAAGCGAATTAACCGGTTGCAACTATTTCCCAACTTTCTAGATTAGATCAATTTTGTCTCTTCTGATGGATATATATAGATGAAGAATTAAGACAAAACATTGCTATTTCATAATTTTAATTTCTAGGTAGAACTAATTGGGTGATGGAAATTTAATACATTATACCAACTTTAAAAATGATATAAATATAATGTTATATATTATTGTAAATTTATAATTAATATATTATTATATAATTAATTTTTTATTTATAAATTTATTAATAATATTATATATTTATTAATTTAATAACATATTATATTTATTTAATAATATATAATAATTATAAATTTATAATTTTATATGATATTACAACTATAATAGTAACGAATTAATTTTGAGATGAAATTTTCCTTTGCGATGAAATTTTCCTTTGCGAACGTGGTTCTATTAAACTCCACAAACCAACTCAATGGTTTTGTGATTAATATCCTTCCTGATCGAACAGCAAATCCTAACTTTGTGGTCACTGGTCAGTTCTGTTCCCTTTCCCTTGTTGTCGTTTTGACCCATAACAATACAAGACAAGACAAATTAAAGGCAAACTTACCATGCGTGGGGTGTGGACGAATGTGACCCCATAATTCCATTGCCTGATCAGGAAGGATACCTTCTCCACTCCACTAAGGGGTAAGGAAGGACTTCATGTTGTATTTGTCTTCCTTTTCCTTTTTTCTTTTTTTTTTTTTATTGAACAATTTGGCAAGAAGGGGATCGAACTTGTCAAGAGAAAGAGGTGTATTTATTTAATATAATTAATGCCACTAGATTCGAAGGATCATGTGCGTATCTATGTTCCTTTTGTAGTATTTGGTTTCTGAAAATGAGATGAATTTGGACCCCCTAATATATTGACCATCAACAGAAAAATTAATTATTCATTTGCTAGGTTATTTTAGTCTATTAATTAATCACCTTAATGATAGTAAAGAGTATTTTTTACATCATTGACTAATTTTAATTCACAAAAGACGAAATTATATATAAATTTCAGTAATTTAGCGTGGGTTCCTATAATTAATGTTTTTTTTATCTTGATTGTATAATAAAAAATAATTATTATCTTATTTTAACATGAATTCTTATTTTAACATGAATTTTTATTTTATTTTATTCATATATTATGCGATTCAAATTTAAAATTTTTTACTTTCAATGGAAGGATATAACCAATAAATCATTTAGGTAATTAATTATAATTAATGTTTGTTTAACAATTAATAAGTAATTTAATAATAAATTTTAAATAAAAATAAAATATTTTAACAGTTGAAGAAGACCAGCTGTTAAAATGATTATAAAAATAATAATGGTCGTTATTTATTATACACCACATAACATCAACTACTTCAGTATGATGAAATGTAAGCGATTGAAGTTCAACGGATTTTAGATCCAATGGTTCAACCTCGAGCCTTAAGTGTTTCGGTAAGGTGGTCGGAGTTTTGAACTCTACTATTATCATGAACTCTATTAAAAAGTAATTTAATAGCCGCGCACCTCATTTGAGGGGGTGAAATATTCATATGGTTTAAAGATCGAATCCTTAGTTGCTAATAACTAATTCAAACTAACT